TCCAGTGAAGAGGCCTGAGTTGAAGTCAAGGGAAGTACCGGCAGTACATGTCGAAGTCAGGTTCACATCGGTTCTCTTGCCGAAAGAGAGTAGATGTGAGGTCTGTGGAGAAAGGGAGGTAAAAGGTTTAACGGCACTCGCAGTCTGAAGACTTGGGGTGGACAGGGCTCGCTCAAGGTAGCGAGTGAAAATAAAATAAAAAGGCGAATCGACGTCAGAATAATTGCATAATTAAAGTGCTTGCAGTCTTATAATGAACTTTGGATAAAGGTAGCCTACATATATACCCTCGCAGCCATAGACAGAAAGCAACTTAATGTGAAAAGTATAATGTTTACCCGAAACGAAAGACGGAAGACGTAGAAAAGCTGCGAGAAAGACAGTCCGATGGCAAACAGTTATGCACAGAGCTTCGTTTTACTATCCTAGGAGACGGAAATAATACGCTTCTTAATGTTAAGAAGTAATCATAAGATTCAGACAAATTCTAAAGACTAAGGGCATTGCTATGATAACTTTAGAGATCGCAGGTGCCAGCAGTTAAAAAGGCTCCAGAAAACTCTATCTTTCAGCATTGGATTAATTAATTTGCGAGACTACTCGGGTCTACATGCTGAATGACAGTCAAGTGTGATGAAATACGGCCTGGAATTGACTGCCGAAAGAATATGTGGAGACTGCCACGAAGGTGACCTCAAGCGAAAAGTTAAATAGCTCTATCCACGGATGAACTACAACGTAATAGCAAAGAAAATGTTGATTTATGTTTCACTTTCATTATCTGGCAGGAATTGCTGATATATTCCAAGACCTCAGAATTCATAATATGAGAGTACTCTGAAAGACTTAAGTTAGCAGGTTTTATAAACAGCTATAGTAATTTTAAAATGGTTACTTCAATCTATAAAGAGCCAACAAAATTTGGCCAAAATATCCGGATTATCAAGTATTTGTGAAGGAAGATCATGGTCGCACAAGTGGGGTTCGTTAGTTTATCTTGATTTCAGGTTTGAGGTGGGTGGTAGAGTTGCCTGTAAAAGCCCATGTCTAAATTTAAGCATGTAGTCGTGTGGCGAATAACAAGCAATAATCGAGCACTGCAAATAAATCGAAAAAGAGCATATTTACCAAGTAGAGCTAGTGGTTTAGATGATGAGTACACGTTTTGCTGAATCGAATTAACGGGGATGCAAAGGTACTTCAAGAGATCTTAATTGCCATAAGTGTGTGTGTGTGTCAAAGATAGAGGAGGAGGGGTGGTACAAAGACTATTGCTAACTGGCAAAATATGTAACTGAATGCCAAACTAGCAGGATAAGTTCAGAAGTGCAATTGTGGCACAGGGACAAGTAAAAAAATTAGTAGCTGTGAACAGCGTGGGTGCACCCAAATTATGAAGCCCCATTCACTTGTACTAGAAACTGAGGCGTATAATCTACTTATTGCTAGACCTTGTTTTATGATCTGAGGATGCTGCGATTTAGATATAGGAATGGCTGACCAGCAACCACACAAAAGGTTCGAGAGGAAGGGTTGAGTGGGAGACTGCGGGCATGGATGAGTCTAACTGGGGCGAATCTTGCCAGGAATATGCAAATGAAGTGCACGCACGGTCAACAGGTTTGCCATAAAAAATTGAGCAGTGGTCGATGGAATAGTGGAAGCTAGGTAAAAAAAGGCAAACAGAACTCGAATACCGCGGATACTATCACCAACATTCCATGCCTGCCATCATGTTCTGGTTGTAAAATGATAAAACAGGGCACAGGCTG